AATGACTTCAGCACAGATTGACCTAAAATAGCAATATCCTTTAGGTGACGTATCCCCTTCAACAAGCATGCGCAGAATGCACAAAACCTCTCCTTGGGGGAACTCTTATGAAAGAAATAGAGGCATGCTTGTGGTCTTGTAAAGGAGGTGTAACTTGCAAAGTGGCTATGTCACGCTTTTTGCTATCTTTTTAAAAAGCTAAACTTCTCTTCGCATCAATTGAATTCCAAAAGTAAAGAGCCAGTTTTGTTATAACAACAGCAACAACTTTATTTGTACCCCATATTGATTTACTTGATACAAAACAAATCAGATAAAATATGGAGAGAGTATAGGCTGTCCATGATAACAATTAACGGATAAAAAGATGGGGCAGCCTTACTTAGGATATTAAAATGATTATAATAAAGGGTCAGGTACCACACACTACAAAAAGCTACACAAATCACATACACAAAAAAAGGAAAAAAAAAACTAGTGGAAAAAGAAAGCTAAGCATGCCAGTATTAAACAGCAGAAAGCCAGAAAAAATTTTAGTGTTGATAAGAATAAGAATTGACTTTAGCTTTTTTTTAGAACGTTTGACAGAGAGGAGCTTGATGTCATCATTTGTATCATTCCAAATTTTAGCACCCTGAAACCTTATGTTAAAAATTCCATAATTTGTTCTGGCTTTTGGGATAGTGTAAGTCATCCTGGGCCGGATTGTTCAGAGCTAGTGCGAAATTTGAATTCCGATATGAAAGGTTATAAAGTAAATTCAGTTTAATTCTTTTCGTCAACAAGTTGATGACTAGATGCTCTTGAAAATAACAGAGAAAATTGTCCGAGAAAATGCTTTTGAACAAAAGATAAAGAAACCTGGGTTAAGCGCTAATCAGCCTTCGAACAACTGGGCCCCCAAGGAGGACATTCTAGTGTTGTATGGTGCTAGGATGTCCTCCTATATGTTTCCTGTCGTCTGTTGTACAGGTGGCAGGGATGAACATGGATTAAAAATTAAAACGTTTTAATGCTATGCCAGCAAAAATAACCAAAAAGGTATTATCAATAATGCTCTCTCCCCAGGGGGGGGGGGGGGGGGGCACCGGGACTTAAAAGGACGGGGGGTATGGGGGGGGGCAAAAAAAAAAACACCAAAAAAAACCACAGGGGTCCCAAAAAACACAAAAAAAACCCCAACAAAAAAAAAAAACACCCAAAAAACCCCACCCCAATTTTGGACCCCCAAAAAACCCACAAAGGGGA